TTGTTTTCCTATCTGGGCAGCTGCTGGGAGTGCCAAACTTCGCCTTGTACTGACAATACCGTTGCCTAGCTAATCATGGGAGCCAGGGATGGGCTTGCTGTGCTGATCATCACATGCTGACAGAAGAGATAATGAGTTGCTGACGAGGATGCATCTGCAATCCACCGAGCATTGCATTGCATGAGATACTGTGTGCTGCTTCTTCCTTCCCAAACCAGGACAATGGATTCTTGCTCCTTAGCACAGTGTCACCTTGCTCTCTGTAGCTCATTTAATGGTTTAAGAAAGGGAGGAAAACACATCTTGGGGAATGCAAATCCTTTGTAATCTAACCTGGTTTTGTATCCTTGCTTTTAATGATCTTGAATGGAAAGTATATTTGAGAAACCAATTTTAAAGGGTAATTTCTTTTGTGGAGAAAGCAAACTTGAACAGCATGAAAATCAGATATTCACCTAGCTCTGTGCTGCATGGTATCACTTCGCAGCTAGTCTTCTCCACATTGGACTGGCCACAGTCTTCATGCTGGTAATGTGATTGTGCTGATATTTTTAGATGGGATTGCAGGCAGTAATGTGGTAATCAAAGTTTAACTCAGTGCTATGGCAGACAAGTGTGCTACTGTTGGGCCTTTCCATGCGGCAGGATTTGAAGGAGGAGAGCAGTGCATTTGCCCATTGCTGCTTCCTTCTTCAGTATTGCAATGGTTTAAGTGAAGAGACAGTAAGTGCAGTTTATGCCTTCCTGGACACGCATGCCCTACTTGCAAATTATGTTTTTTGTCTTGCCATCTTGCTGCTGAGCTGTATTGTTATGGTAGAGTTGTGGAATTTTTGTCCTAATCCCTCTTCCTCCTCAACTCCCAGTTTTGGATATGCCAGCTGGGGGTTACCCAGATGTCATAAGTCAGTTTGTGCTGACCTGTGCTTTGTCAGTTTACTTTTCAAATACTGGTTAAGCCAATGCAGTAAATTGTATTTCAGCTTTTTTTGTCACGTATGAATAATTTTGTCATTAATTCCCTAGTTTCTTCAGGGGGACATACCTGAGCTGTGTAGGTAATACCTCCGTGCAGAGGGAGAGGCTGTGCTGCCTGATTTGTTGGCTCTTGGTGTGTAACAGGCTTCATTCTGAATCCTTATTCGACTTTTTGCAAAGCATGCAAGTCTGTGCCCTTCATTCTCTCCAAGCTCCTTAATAATATGAGCTGGACACAGGCGTGAAGGAAAAGTCTATCTTTCCTGCTGGGAAAGCCAGGCTGTGAGCAGCTCTTAATTTAACAAAGCTAATGGAAATTTCCAGGGAGGGCTTAGAGAGCTTAGTGACAGCCATAAAAAGGAAGAAAATAAGAACTTGACTAAGTGGACTTCACTGTCCATGACTGACACAGTGTGAAGAATTGCCGTTTTTCATGCTGAAGCCCTGGGCAACAAATGTCCTCCTTACTGCACCCGTGTCCAAGGGGCAACGTGGTCCATGCTACACAGAGCTTCTACCTTATGCCTTGGAAAATGCAAAGTGCTTCCAGCATTTCCATGTCTAGAGTTTGATGGAGCAGAAGTTAAATGCTTACATTACCTGAAAAATATTCATTTCTCCAGTGTAAGCTCTGCTTCTGTGAAATGAATAGTCAGGCCTTGATTTGCAAATCTCCTGGGAAACGTGCTGTGAAAGGCTTGCTAATTTACAAAATTCAAGCAATATTTTGTGATAGGAGTTAAAAAACCTTAGGCTTTCTGAAAAGGGAGATTGCACTGTCTTAAATAGGTGTGGTTAAAGCAGTGCAAATCTTTAAGCTTAATTGAAAATCTGATTGAAACCAAGGTAGTTGTGGTTATCACATGCATCTTGTTGTGTACTTAAGTTGGTTTAAGGTACAATTATGTGATTAAGTTTCTAATACAGGTGTGATCTTAAAACTGTCACTTAACCCATACAAAAGCAGCATTTCTTTGATGAAATCTTTGCTTATTAAGAAGGGAAGTGGTGATCTTTGTATAAAAGTGCCCAGCCAGTTCCCTCTGTTAAGCTCAGATACTTGCTTTCCTCACTGTACCTTGATGCAGTCTGAAACATCTCTTCTGTAGCCTCAATCAGTCATCCGTAGGCTAGAAGATCTAATGGGGGGCAAACTGGATATTGGTCTTAGGGCTGTGGAGACGCAGACATGGGTTCCACATCAGAGAGAGGCAGATGCATGCAAAAGAGAAAAAAGATCGTGCCGAGGGCTTTATCACTTGAAATCTTTTGCAAGAGGTGCAGTTGGGAGAGGGTAAGTTGATTAGCTGGCCAAGGGAAGGGTCTGCTGAAAGGTAGCAGTGAGGATGCTGGCTGCTGCAGTAGGGAGCTCCCGCTGTTTATTCTGAGCTGCTTTTTTGGCCCTGCAGAGAGACACACTCAGTCCAGACTAAAAAGCCAGGTTGAAATGGTGCTGAGGATGTTGAACTCCCATCATTGCCAAGTCTAGTGACCTTGGCTCAAGCCTGTTCATCAGTGTTCCACAGTCAGCGATGGGAGGCAGTGGCACCAGCTGCTGCAGGTCCTCCTTCTGGGAAAAAAAAAAGTCTGATTCTCTGGCAATAAATGAGTAGTTAATAGGACCCTGACAGTGAAACTGTATTGATAAATGTCAGCGTTTAAAACCAATGTGCAAAGTCATGTATTAAATGGAATGGCTGTTGATTTTACCGTCCAGGGAAAGGTGCAAATTGACAGTGGGGAGTTAGAATGGGCTTTCCTGTCCAACAACCTGCCTGTATGGCAGTGAGCCTCTGCAGAAGGGGTAGGAGCAGGCATGGGAGTTTTTAATCTGGTGTACTGCTTGTCAGCTTGGTACTGTGATGCTTTTGTAGAAATGAGATGAATCAGACTCCAAGAAGTGTGTGTCTGTGCAGGAGCTGAGCTTTCTGCGTAGTACAGAAACAGAGTGTTTTGGGGGGAAGAGAGGAAACACAGTATTGCCAACTCACATTTTGCCCTAGGGAAAGTTTTGCAGTCTTCTGGTTTCTTGTCTTGGGAGGTGGCGAGCTGTCAAAGACAAGTAGGGCACACAGAGCATCTTGGCAAGGAATGCTGGTGGCTGTGAGGACTGTGCCTGTACTTTGGAAAGTGTGAAGAAGTGTGGAAGGAGGGGGAAAAGAGCACGGGTCAGTTTAGCTCTGTTGGATCATAGCTGCAGACACCAAGCAAACTGGACTTTCAATGGAAGTTTTGACTACCGGTCAGAAAGACTCACTTGCCTGGGGAGTGTGCTACTTTGCAGACAGCCCAGTGTGACACTAAGTCTCAGCATATTAGACAGGAGATGGGGCAGCCAGAGGCACTGCCACAATTTCAGTGACAGGTTACCACCTGTGAATAAACTCTGAAGCCTTTGTAAATCAGCATCTCCCTGGCAGCTGTTTTCATGGGGTATAATGCAGCACAGGGCTAGCTCAGCACAAAAACCAGAAATAACGAAGAAAAAAACCCAAAAGTGATGACTGAATACTTTGTGTAGACTCCATGTGTAGTGTTGTTGACCTAATTTTCTCCAGCTTTCGGCCTTGGTCCCGCCCTGGGGTGCTGTCAGGCCAGCAGCCTAGCCTCAGGCCTGCAGCACATGCATCTCTCCCATTGCAACATCCTCTTAGCTGGGGTTCTTGCCAGTTCTGCTGAGGCATCTCATTACAGAGACAACAGCTTTTATATATACGTAAAACACCACGTTTGTGCCCGAGCCATAACCAGCTGCCAGCTACTTGGCCTGAATCCTTCCTTCAGATTATGGGTCTACCCTTAGTTTGTGCTCTGAGACTGCCTGTGGTGTGATGCAAGTCCAGCTCTTCAGACACAATTCTATCTGCACAGGATTTTTTTTTTTTTAACTTGCTTTGTGGTGACCACTGCACAGCACTGTTAACTCTCCACCTAGCACCATCAGGGGCAAATCTGCAGTCCAGCAGCCATGTGGTGGTACACAGCTCACAGGGAACTGATGTGTCAGCATGGTGTGGCGAAACACCATATAGAAAGGCACTCCCGTGCTAGTGCAGCCTGTAGTGCTTTTGGAGGTGGGAGTACTCCGTACCACCTTGGACTGC